GATATATTGTCAGGATAATTTTCAATTTATTCCGTAATGTGTTGTTACATTGTTTGATAAGTATAACATCACATACAGTCAAAGTCATTAAATAATAAATTAAAATGAGATTAGATCATACTGTAAAAAAAAAAAAATGGAAAAATTCATAAACTCACTTGTGGTTTACTCTTTTATCACCTACATACCTATGCTTTTTTTTTTTTTTTTTTATCAATTAGCCTCTGTGATTTTTTATCCAACTCCACCTTTAACATTATATGTAATTAAACTAACTTGCTCATTTTATCCTTATTTTATGTTTGAGTTTTATCTATTAAAAATAAGAGTAAAGTCTCTTTTGGATCTCTAATGAAAAATATGGTCCCTACTTTCGTCCCTTAAAAAAAAATCAACTTTTAGTCCCTCTACAATTTAGTCTCTATAAAAAGACTACTATGAGTTTTTTTTGTAAGCGACAAAAGTGGGACCGTATTTTTTATTAAGAACCCAAAATAATCTTTACTAAAAAAAATAAAATATGACCCTAAGAATAATAAGATAATTAATAAAAATCAGTCTGAAGATATTAAGTCTTATACCGATTAAAACCGACAAGGTATTTGGATCACTGGAAAATTCTAGCCTGGACGTAGTTTATCCAAGTTCTATAATTAATGCTGCATTTGGTTTAGATTTTAGTGAAGTTACTTTTAAAAGAACTCATTTCAAAAGAATTCATTTGTATTTACAAATAATATTTAGAAAAATAATTTAGAAGAATTAATTTTATGGAAAAGGTTATGTTTACTACTTTTATTTTCTTACTATCAAATTTTAACGTTAATTTTTATCAATCAAACCGTTATAATTTATTAGAATTTAATAATTAATTAATAAATGTGACCTAATAAATTATATTCATTAGATTGACAGAAATCAACAGTTAAAAATTAGTAATAAGAGGTAGTAAGAAAAAAAATAATAAGTATAATCTCCCCATAATTTTATTTAGTTATATAAATTTTTAGGGTCAGATTTTATTTTTGATAGACAAACTTCAAAACATAAAATGGGCAAATTAACTCAATTACTAACTGTGTTAAAGGTGGACTTAGATGGAAAAAAAATCACATGGGACTGAGGTAAACTGTTCGTAAAGAGGAATCCTACAAGGGAAGATTCTACATGAGACCTGCGCACCGAGAGGTATTAGTATCACATGTAAAGGAACAATATCAAGGAACAATATCAAGGATAAGCGGATCCTCAAGAAATTGAAGATCCATCATTTGACCCACTCTTTGTTTTACCTATAAATACACAAGGTCTAGTGCAGTACATTCGTAGTGGGAGAGAACCTTGTTAACTCTCAAGTTGTTTCTTGTTGAGTGACATTGATCCTACTAGTTACGATAATGCACTAGAAGATGTTGTTGATCAAGTGTTGCTCAGGCTATGAACAATGAGATGAAATACTTGTATTTCAACTTCGTTCGGTCCTAGTAAAGACACCAAGAGGGGTGAAACCCACAAGGTGCATGTGGACATAAAAGGTAAAGAAAGGATGGACAGAAAGATGAAAACCTTCAAAGCTAGCTTGGAGGCATTTTTTGCCAGACGCCATGCTTGAGTCTATCCAGATTCTCTTAGTTGCTATAAGTCTCAATTATGAGATTTCATTTTGGGAGTTGGATGTCAGGATATCTACATACAACAACCAAAAGGGTTTATAGAAAATGAGTAGGAACACACGATATGCAGGTTGTGAAAGTCTATTTCATAGACTTAAGCAAGCATCCAGGTCTTGAAACATCAGTTTTTGATCAGGTTATCAAAATTTTAATTTTGAGAGAACCTTGATGAATGATGTGTATTTGTATGTAAAGGATACAACGGAAGACAGTAGCTTTTCTGGTACTTTATGTAGATGATATGCTCCTTATTAGAAACAATGTGGAGGTAATATCAAGCATAAAGAGTTGGCTAAGTTAGTGTTTTGGTATGTAAGTACTGGGGAAGCCAATTATATTCTTGGTATAAAACTCTTATGAGGCCGGAAGAATAAGTTGTTGGCATCACCTCAGGCTATTTACATTGACAAAACCCAAAATTCAACATGAGAATTCTAAGAGAAGAATTATAATTTTCAGATGTGGAATTCATCCTCCTAAGGAGTGACCAAAGACTTCTAAGAAGGAAGAATGCATGAGCAAGATATCTTATGCTTTGGCAAAGGTAGACTCACGCATATCATGTTGGGCGTTAAACCAGACATCTGTCACGTAGTGGGAGTAGTGAGATAGTACCATTTTGAACCTAGAGGAATACTAGATTATTGTTAAGCATGTACTCAAGTATCTTTGGAGAACGAGAGATTATATGATGGTATATTCTAGTGGGAGTCTTGAAAGGCTGAGTTTTCAAAAATTCAGTTATTTCAAGTGGATATTGACTCAAGAAAATCAACCTCGAGCTATGAGTTTTTCACTAAACTCAGATAGCATTAGAGGTGGATCTTACAGACCCAGTTACTAAGAGTTTGCCTGAACTTGTGTTCGAGAGGCATGTTACTTCTTTGGGTCTTAGGAGGATCTCAGACTTGCATTAAGCAAGTGGGAGTTATTGGTTTTATTGTGCTCTTGGAATAAGACGATGAAACAATAAAATCATTTTCTGAATTTCATAAATAAGGTTTTATTTATTTATTTTGCGCACTTATTCAAACATAAAGTTCCGGATCAAATTGTGGAGTATATGATCATATGGATACGTTCATGGAGGACATGATCATAGGATCTCACAATTGATGAATGGAGTCACAGCCGTTAAATAAAGTTGGGCACTTTATTCAGGCTGCAATATTTTATGAAATGATTTTGTCCGAATCATTGTAAAATATTGGTGTGAATTAACATTCACATTGAAAGGATCAAGGAGAGATTTGATTAAGGTTGTTTTTCTGTCATAAGGTATCAAATCTCCAGTTAACTATAGTTATGTGATTGCTCTTAATCCTGAGTTTATTATAAATAGGTAATCAAATAGTTTTCATTCTTTGATTTACCAACGGGTGAGGTTCGATCTATTGACGGCCAATAACTCGGTATTTTGGGAGTGAGATTATTTGATTATCGGTATTTATGAGATAAACAACATGGAATTTGTAGGATATGTCCCCTTGATATGTTTCGGTATTTGGATATTAAAGACACTGGGCAGTGCATGTAATCCATTAGAGAAACTATCATAGTCAAGGGAATAAATAATTGATTGAGTTACAGAAAACTTGTCAATCAATTATAGACATTCTACAAAGGGGCAATGCATATTCTTGTTATAAGTGTTGTTAATCTTGGAGTTCAAGTTCGGGCTTTTAGTGGAGTAGCACCGAATTAGATAATCATTCGTTGATTATCAGGAGCCTTGATTAATAACAGATGGTAGATCCCCAAGCTAGCTTGAGACAAGGGATGGGGTATTTTTCGGATAGATGATGACTTATGGGTTACATGATCTTGGGTTTTACGACTCAAGTTTGTATCCAAAAGAGCAAGTGAGAGATTGTTGGGTTTGCTCTTTTACTAAAGCCCAAATGGGTTATTAGTATGAGAAGAGCCCAAGGAACCTAGAGCCCAATGAGCTAGAGTTTCTTGGAACCCATATAGTACCTCTTAAGTCATCAGCCGCGGAGGTCTTTTTTGTGAGAAAGAGGCAAGCTCAGAATCTAATCAGTGCCCACACACTTCTCCTTCCTCCTCGAGAGATAGTTTGGAAGATCTGTCACAGTCCAGCTTCAAGGAGGTTGTTCGTGCTGCGGCGCTGAGGTGAGCTGTTCGTAAAGAGGAATCCTACAGGGGAAGATTCTACACGAGACCTGCGCACCGAGAGGTAATTGTGAAACAAGGATGATTCGGTAAGCATACCAATGTACTAGGTCCTAAACTGCTTCCGCATAAATCTAAGATTTCCTACAATAATTGATAAAAAGAAGAAGAATAGGGTGTAGTGATAAAAGAATAAATAACATGGGGTTTATTAACTTTTTCCCCTTTATTTTTTGTAAATACCAATCGGTATCCTAAGTCTTAATGGATCCCGATCCGTTTTGGATTTATGCCATTCCACCCTCTCAAAAATTGCGACTCTCTGTATTCAAACCAACTAGCCTTTGGCAGATCAAATTTTCACACATGCATGAAATTAAACTCTATAATTTTTTTGGTAGATAATTAAACCCTATATTTAATATTACTGTTTTTATAAACTTGCTTCAACAAATTTGGATGACTAGATCAATCCCCTATGCTCAGACTCGGATATTCCAATACCAGGTTGATTTTCCTCAAGAGAAGCATTTAGCTTAGCTTAGTAACACACAGATTTGAGTATTTAAACTTCACTTTGCCGCTTAATGGTCACTGCATTATGTACAATATATTTCAATTCCAATGAGAAAAAGGACATGATCCGTTTACAAATTTTTTTTGCAATTACACTAATGTAGGACCGGTCGTACACTGTGTGATTAATGTAGGACCGGTCCTACATAATGTAATTTGGAAGAGTTTGTAAACAAAAAAATTTGTAAATATAACCTGCCCCATGAGAAAATTATCATTTCTAAAATTGTGCAGAAAAACTGCCTAGTTAGCTCTGCGATGATTGTTAGGTTATAGGAAGGAAGAATGACTCAAGTCAAATTAACTTGATCTTCTTCAAACCACATTGGCTCTGATCAAGCTCACAGTCAATCATACTACATTCCAAAGGGTTGCATCCAATTCTCATTCGATAATGGAAGCTGGAAATAAGACAAACAATTCACGGGGAGACAAGCATAGGGGTTTATCTTTTGCTGCTTATGATTATCCTATTGCAATAATTACACCAATCTTTTTGGATTTTGTGATTTCCCATAAGAAAAATGAAACCAAGAAGTGCATGAAAAACATTAGCAATACAAAATCCTGTGCTGTATGCTTATTCAGACATTCATTCATACATCAATTAAATTGTTTGTCAAGGTAAAATCACCAAGGTCATTCCAATTTGAAGTATACCAACTCACCCCCACCCCTCTCGGTTTTTGCTGCAATAGCCAATACAACCCTACCCTCTACCTCACCAGCAGGTACCATTAACTAGATCATTGTTAATGATTCCTAGGAAAAATAATGAGTACATAAAAGGCAATGTATGGTTCTGTGGCTATTCATTTACTCTGTGACACTAGAGACAGTGCACTGATCAAACAGTAAAAATCTTCCTCACCTTCTTCATGTTCCTCCGACAAACAGGGCAAGTTCCATCTGCCTCGGCTATCCTGCATAGATAATATTGGACTTACATCACCACACAAGAAAGAATAAGCATCAGCTAATGCATTAAGATACAAACCACTAGAAAATGTGATCTATGGAATAAATATTGTTAATACATACATGGACATGCAAAGTGGATCAACCCATTTTTATATGCATGTCAAAAATCATTTTGAGAAATTATACTTGTTTAATCTTTCTTATAAAATGGGAATTCTTGAACATGTGCTAGTTGCTATATTGTTGTAAAATACTATAAGAAAATACCAAGCGGAAAAATGAAGCGAGGAGTATATATTTGAATAGTCCTCCTCACTCCTCAACTTCCCTTTCATTGCCAAGAGGTATAGAGGAAGCTATTTTCAAGCAAAACTGCTCTAGGAATTTGGAACCGTTAAAGTTGTGATAACAATGAGTTACCTATTTCCACATGCAAAACAAGCCACACAGTGCCCGCATGGAAGGAAGAAGCAGTCCCTTGGAGCATCAAAGCAAATGGCACAAAGACGCCGGGTATTATTACTGGTTTCCCCATCACCTAAAAGCTTCACGTCCAAGGAACCTCCTGTGAGAAAGTCAAGGTCCTCCTCATCCTGTGGTAAGGAATCATATGATGATCCCCAATCATCATCTTTGCAAGAAAGTAAAGGGGCTCTCTGAGGTGCTGTCCCATCAGATCTAACTCCTGCTCTATCTTCCCGACCACACTGAAGCTTGTTCAAGAAGTTGAAGGCCCAAAACATAAGCAAAGTCAATCCACCTGTGGGGAGATGTAGCATAAATAGTAACATATAAAACCATTTAAGATTGATACAGTGAGTAAGAGACTGATTATATGAAGAGTATACCTATGCCAAAAATATATGTCACCCATCTTGGTCCATAGGACAGTTTGACACACCACTCATTATCGGATGTGTTCTGAGCCAAAGAAAAGAAAGCATAAATAAACAGTAAAAGCAAAGGAACTGAAATACATTCATATCCTCAATTAAGGAATATAAAGAATATCCATTTCACTTGGGCCTAGGCAATTTTTTTATTTTTATTTCATTTTCAAGATTCCAACTTCAAAAATATACCAGAGTTCCAGGTTGGAGCATTGAAAATTTGATGTTCCATTTATGATTTATAAGGATGACTATTTACTTTTTCTCTTTAAAGCAAGTGTACGATAATAATCTTGCCTGTTGTGGGCCAGGAGAAACCAAGACAGCTGCATTTCCCTCAGGAAAGAAAATACTCAAACTGCATGGACTACTAGTCAAAGCACATTTGTAGTAAGCATTCGTCGTATTATGCAATAATGCCCTTACTCTGAGGTTTAATTCCACCTACTCAATGAGAAGAGACCAAGGAAAGTGACTAACAACGATCAGTGGTGACGAAAAAATAACCACAACTGCCTTAACAATATATAAGTCCATTAAAATAATAAAAAGGAAAAAAGGAAAAAGACTTACTCTGATTTATGAGAAATATGGTTAACAAAATCTGATAATAGCACTTACATCAAAAACCACATTTCCCATGCTCAGAACAATCGGTTCCAGAATTATCGCTACTCTAACACCATTTTAATTGAATGCAAAGCCTTTTCTGATGCAGTTACAGTTCCCATATACAGTACAATATTAAAGATCTGAGGTTTTCTTCGATTGAGCTAAAGTGAATGTGTTGAAATTATAGGAAAATGAAGTAAAAGAAAGAATAAGTCTGAATGGTGGATTTTATTATGATACGATTTGTGAAACACTAACATAATCTGTTCTAAGTTTTGCTTATCTGTTCTGAGTTTTGCAAGATCTTTTGTTTCTTTTCTGGTCAATCAAACAAAGGACGCAGGATGCAAACTGATGGGATTAGATTCTTGCACGTGTTTGAGAGAACAAGGAAGAGATAGTGGTGGTAGGATCAAGAAGAACCAGTAGGGGAAAAAATGGGATCTGATCTGAAGGCATTTCTACTAATGACCAGGTTAGGTTCAAGATACATATAGATTCATATTTGTCTGCTTTGCAGTTCATAATAGTTCAGTCCATAAATCTGTTGTAGTTAGCTTACTTTTACATACTAGCTATCAGAAAATCTCCATGCATATTAGCTTTAAAACTACGTCTATTTGAAATTTAGTTCTCATGCACCAGCTTTTCATGTGTGAATGTAGTTACATATGTTTAAAAATGCAAGAATAAGTATGAAGGAAAACTCTGTCCATGTTCAGATGTTCAAGTTTAACAACTGAATATTCAAAGGTTTCCAAGCATGCTAGTCCATGTGAATGTGGAAAAGACGATGAAATTGTCCACAGAATGAATCATAGTAATCAAGCAAACGACGCCATCAGAACTTAAGGTTCAGTTCATATTTTATAATCTCTGAATGAGTTATGTTACTTTAATACAAGTTTTACCTTTTAAAGGGACATTTTAACAGAAATTTTTGTTTGTAGATCCTGATAGAAAAAATTACACGTCATGGCCTCATTATCAATGAAAGATTTTGGTTTCAATTATTCTAGAGATTCTAATTAATTATACCAACAACAGGAGCAAATATGGTATAGGATTACAGAAATACCTCCACCTCCTCATCCAAATTACCCAATGCCACATAATAGCTGGACGACTTGAATATTTCCTGTGTAATCATACCAGTTCCTGTAAAGAAACTAACCAACATCAATATAGGATTAATATGAATGCAAATATTCTTTTTTACCACTGTCTTACCACTTACCATGGATCACATTCCACGACAGAGTTGTATTAGGATATGTTGGGTCTTGCAGCCACTCAGAGAGGCCTTCAGCCCCTGCAAGTAAGGGCATCAGAATAACATGTTTACTAAATATGCATGCAAATTTGGTATGACCTATTTTACACATGTAAATATGCATTGATTACAATGGGTTTGAGCTTCATGATAACTAAAACCAGGGAGTACATTGCAAAGTTACATCCAAAATTTTTACACATCTGAATCTAATGCAAACGATTGATGTAACACAGCCACATATTTTAGGTCTTATGGATAAACTCGAACGAACTATCTCCTCTCTTCCATAACTGTTCAGTCAATTTTTGGGCTTCGTGATACATTGTCTTTTACAAATATTATTTCTATATGGAATATTTTCATTATCTTCCATCTTAAAGTTTAGGCAATTGATTTTCCACAAAACTGATTCTAATAATAAATTAGAGGGATTGCTTCCATGGCCTTCATTCACTGAGAGATAAATAGAAGTACGTAGTAGAGAAATTTTCTATAAGTAAATTTAGAGCTGCCTCATTATGGATGTTAAGAGGCTGTCACAGCTTACATGTTGGAAGAAATAGAAAACATGTCCTGCCAATAAAACTCCCTCAGGTTTGTTTTTGTTCCATAAGAGAGAGCCTCTAGAAGATAAGAGAATTTTCTAAAAGAGACACAGCAGGATTGTAACAAAAAGAACATGTCATGGCAAGAAGTGAAACCCAGCAAAATAGAAAAATTTCAGCCAACAATGTTCAAAGGGAAAACCTCTCTGTAAATCTTGCCAGCAAAGCCAAACAAGAAGGAAATGAAATGAAAAAAAAAAACTTGAAATGAAAATTCTCTGCTGGAAGTATTTTTTGGACGGATAGCAAATATTAAGAAATCCTATAAACAGGGAACCTACTATAGGACTAATTGGCTTTTGCTGACCCCGCCAACAAAGGCCCTCATCAATATGCAAAGTATGGGCCATACCTAACAATTCTTGTATCAGTGGTTTACTGATTTGGTCTCGAGGTAGGTTACTTGGTTCAGTGCATTTGTGTCTTATTGTTAGTGGTAGTTTATGAACCCAAGCTTCAGATTTCACCCGATTTGTCTGTTATATTTTACATTCAACAATTAACAATCACCAAGAGGTTTTGGTTGAAGTTTTATTGGAGCAAACCAGTGTTTCAGAAGGGTACAAACTGTGCAGCACTTACCCAGCAGTTGACAAAAGTGATGATTGAGTGGTAGTTCCATGATAAAGAGATTCATAAAAAAAAATGGAAAGAGAAACAACTGAAATCTCAAGTAACAATCCTACCTTCTGCAATTACAAGGAAAATAGAGGAGCTCCCAGAGCTCAAGCGATATGAAATATTTACTTCAGACCCTCTATTCAGATAATATTTCCATTCCTAAGGAAGACATAAGAAAAGGGCATTAATTCAACCACAGGAATGTGAGGCTTCAATAACATGATTCAGTACAAATTGCTTTCTGTTTTGCAATATCAGTATTTAGTATCATGTGAGGATCAAAAGGTAAAGGGGAAAGTACATAAACTTGCCTTATGTGAGTCAGAGGGAAGAGATACATTACGAGTTTGTACCCAATTGGAAACAACATCAAGAGGTGGATATCGATATGTACCATAAAGAATGGGTCCTGGCTTTGCCTCTAAGTTTTCTACCTAATACAAACAAACACAGATTACAAAGACACTCACTAACTACAAATCAAAAACAGATAAAGAAAATTGCAATTAAAAGCAGGAAGCCTGTAACTGAAACTGACCTTCACATATTGCACGAAAAGAGCACTAGGTTGCAAAACAATTGAAGACTCTGGACCAAGCACGATGGTCATCGACCCATAAACCCCCAGTATCATAGTCACCGACACTGTAACATTGCAATGTAATTTCATAATTCCAAAAAAAAGAAACACACAGACACAGAAAATATAGCATAAAAAACACATTCAAACATCACCAAAACATTGCAAAAGTAATTTCAAATTTAAAAACAAAACATTAGAGCAAAATTGAGAGGGCAAGCCTCCACGGTGGTAATATTGCCCCTTTCCAAAGGGTGGATAATATATCAACCCGGTAAATATGTTAACTTAATTCTAAAAAAAGTGAGGCAACTAGTGATATACTATAATAAATGTAAAGAACCAATCCAACAAAAGATTTAAGCTGTTGTATAAGGTTACATTAATGATTTTATATATCTCTAGTATGCTCTCTCATAAGAGAGTTCATTGGACTTGAAAGATAGATAATGAATCAGGCCTAACCTAATTGTGTTAAGAAATTCTACAAAGAGAATGAGAGGCAGCGATGGCCGAACTTGTGATACTGGAGCTCTAATATCATGTAAATAACCAATTCAATCGAAAAGGTCAAGTGTTGGGTGTATATCTCTAACAATAAAGAACCATCTCATCTAAAAGGTCAAACTGTGAATATTTCTCTAACAAAAATTCAAATCTCATAAACAACATTCCTTTGCATATATGCAAGTATAACGGCAATGTATAAGAATAATACTCACCCCACAATCTCTATTCAGGTCTTAGTTTGTTATTTTTTGAGCATAATATGATTTTATTGCTTACACTCGAATTTTGAACATTCAAAATAAAGGGATGATTTTATTGCGTACCGAAGAACCAAAAGGTGAAGATGACAACGAAGCAGGACCAGGTATCATCCCTAACAATGGGGGAGTCATGACCAATGCCCCATATGGCTCTTCCAAAGTCATCACTGAGGTCCGGTAACTGGAATCCAGTTCGAGAGTTATTCGCTGCAATTTCCTCCGACGGTCCAGCTCCGCCAGCTTCTTCGCGGTTAGCTGAGGAAGAAGGAGGAGTGGCGGCCGGGGAATGCGGCTCAGCCATTCTAGAGAGAGAGAGAAACAGAGGAAGTTAGAGAGAGAAAGAGAACCCCAACGCTGAGGAAAGAGAGAGAGAGAGAACCTGTGATGTGAAGAAGTTCCATTAAAGGTCGCCAACTACGGGTCTTCTTCTTCTTCGGGAGAATGGTAGTTAGGAACTGACTGAGTGAGTGACAGTTATTTGTCGGGTTGGAGAGTATGTAAAATTAAACTTCATCACAAATATGCATATATATAAAAAAAGTTTTGAGGTTTAAAAATTAAATGTAGATAACTCAAAATTTAAATGTAGATAAGTTATCTACATTCGCTCCTAAAACGATGACATTTTAGGTTGAAAAATTAAAAAATTATGATGAAAAAAACTATTATAACTCTGAAATAAATTATAATTACAAAAATACCTTGATTTCCGTCTCAAAACGACGTCTTTTTGGCTCAATGTAGATAAGTTATCTACATTGCTCTAGAAAAAGCGAACCCATAATAAAGAATATCTGTTTATAATTTTTTTTACAAATTATACTAAATATGATCAATTATACACTCTTGATTAAAATATGACCGATCATATTTAATATAGTTTGTAAGAATTTATAAACAAAATTTATAAATATAACTTTCCCTATAAAAAAAAATACATGTGGGTCTATACAAATTGCACGATATTTATTCAACTTTGTTCTCACATATTCACTTTGGAATTTGAATCCTTATATTTTTTATTTTTACTTTTTAAACGAGAAATTGATTATATTTATAAATTTTTTATTTATAAACTCTTATATATTATACTATATATTCTTGGAAATATATTAGGTTACACTGTATATTTTTCTTTAAATAATATATATTTCCACCATAACTTTTCAATAAATTTTTCAGTTTTTTTTATATAAGTAAAAATTAAATACATAATTTAATATACCATACCCAAATCCCTGGTTACTAAATGAAAGGTAGTGGCTTAATTTTCGGTCTTCCGTACACTTACATGAAAGCATGTTTTTAATCTAAATTTTTATCTATTAAATTTTTATTTTCATAAATTAATCTCTAAAATTACCAACTTTCTTAATAATTGCATCGTGTTGTTCTCCAAAATAGACTCAATTACTCCGTTTGGTCTTCTTAGAGATCTATCAGCAAGTTATAGAGATACCATAGTGGGCTTCAGCTCTGAGATTCCAAGAGACTTCATTACTGACAATGGCATCAGGTTGATGCCTGCTCCAAGATCACACAATGCCCAGCCAACATTAATGTTGTCTATCGCACTTGGGATGTTAAAACTCCCTGGATCTCGAAGTTTTGGCAGAAACTTCTTCTGAATAATAGCACTGCACTCCTCTGTGAGAGCTACTGTCCCACATTCTTGCAATTTATGCTTTCTAGACAAGAGATCTTTCATAAACTTAGCATAATTCGGCATGTTAACTAAATCTTCAACAAATGAAATATTAATTTGCAACTTCTTAAACATATCTAAAAACCTGGCATATTGTTGCTTTTGTGCTTGTTGCTTTAGCTTCATGGGATATGGTGGTTTCTCAAAGCGAGAAAAATCCCATTGTTTCTTTGGAGCTTCAGAAGTTTGCTCCTTTGCCTTTCCTTTGTCTTTTTGAACTGACTCTTCCTTGCTTGTAGGTGTTTCCACTTCTTTTTCTTGCTCCTCTTCTTCATTGAGCTCAACATTTTTCTAGACTGCTTTCGGCTTTTCTTGAGGTGTAATCACATTTTCGCTCCTTGTGACGATTGACTTGCAATGCTCTCGCGGATTGACTATGGTGTCACTTGGAAACTGGCCTTGAGTCCTTTCAGCTAATTGTCACGATAATTGATTGATTTGATTTTCCAAGTTTCTAAGAGATGCATCTTGATTTTTATGATGGTATCTTGTTTCATTCATGAAGGTGTTAGTTGTCTTTGTTAACTGCAGTAATGCTCTCTCTAATTCATATGGTTGAGTTTGTGGAATTGGAGAAGGCTATAAATATTGATTTGAATTGTAATCGAGGCCCCCTTGATTCTTCCATCTTTGATAGTGTTCCCCCCAGTCGCAGTATTGTTCTTTGCTGAGTCCTCTGAACGTACCAGATCCCATTGACTTGGATCGGATATGCTCCTATGAGTACGTTGCACTCATTAGTCTCATGTTTTCCTTTATAGTATTCACAGGAGATAGACTTTGCCTGATCTGAAGATGGGTGAAGCTTTTCGAACTTTTTATTCAAAATAGCAACCTGTTGTGAGAGAAGCTTTTGTTCAGCTAACATGTCATCATTACCTTCTAATTGGAGAACTCCTCTCTTTGGCTGAGCTGCTATACTCTCATTCTCCATCTTTTCCATGGACTCGATCAATTCTAGAGTCTGAGTGGGTGTCTTTATTTGATAGATCCTCCAGCTGCACCATTGACAACCATCCTTGAAGCTGGTGTCATCCCGTTGAAGAATATTCGAACTTTTATCCGGGTTGCAACTCATACTGAGGACACTTTCTCATAAGCTCCTTGAATCGTTTCCAGGCTGCACATAGAGTTTCTCCATCAAATTGAATGAAATTGGTTATTTTATTAACCAGCCGATTATACTTTGTCATCGGGAAGAATTAGGCTAAGAATTTTGCAACTAGATCTTCCCAAGTGCTGATGGTATTTGCTGGTTGTCGTTCCAGCCACCTGAGTGCTTCGTCTGTTACAGCAAACGGGAACAATCGTAGTCGCAACGCATAATCTGATACCCATTTTTCTTGACTGTGTCATAGATCATAAGAAATCTGTCAAGAAATTCATGAGGATCTTCTGTGTCCTCTCCCGCGAATTGAGATCGCTTAATTAATGTGACTAAACGTCGGCTTAATTTCAAAGTTGTTAGCCGCGATTGTTGGTCTCGCGATACTCGAATTCGGCCTATGTCTAGGTCATACAAGAATTGGTATTTTGCCTATGTCAGAACTAAAATCCCAATATGTCTATTGCGAGCCCTAACCCTCAAATCCCTATAAGAGTGATCAATTCATACAAGGATATAAAATTTCATGCAAGGTAAAACACAAATACTAAATAATTTATCAAAGAAACTAAATTAAACCATAACTAAGATTCACATCGGATCCATAATCCTAACTACATAAATAAACTTAGCGTAACATGTTCATAAATTCAGAATAAAAATATGCTGAAAGATAAACAGAGTTCATGATAAAACTTGATTAAAGATGATCACTGGTGAAGCTTTGATCTCCTTCTCCTCATCTGGAATCTCGCTCCAGACTTTCTCCTCTGCTTCTGCCTTCTGCCTTCTGCCTCTGAGTTTGTCTCCGCGTTCGCTTTTCTTTCGTCTTCTGAATGTGTTTTGAAGGCTTCGTCGCGTCTGTATTTAAAGGCTCAGAATTGGGCTTTGAATTTTTGGGCCAACTCGCCGTGGAGCTCGCTAAAGCGAGCTGCTCAGCGAGCTCTTCTCCTCGCCGTTGTGCTCGCTATTGCGAGCTGAAGAGCGAGCTCCTCGTTGTTTTGCTCACTGCTGCGAGCTGAATAGCAGCCTTCTCGCTCACTTCTTCGCTGTTGCGAGCTGAAGAGCGAGGAAAAATTAATTTTTATTAGTTCTTTAATTTCTTGATTTTTGATTTATCTTCAACCGGTGTCAACTGCCTTCTCATCAAATCTGATCATATCAGTGGTTTGTTTTTCTAGTGTGAAACAACCTGAAACAACAATAAAGATTAGAATCTTATCTATTTGTTGACATTTTAATATTCTTTAAGTTTTTATTAATTAACACCATATTTTTAATCTTATTAATTATTATTTGAACTATTTTTGACATTAAAAGTATAGTGTCTTTGACACTTATCAACAAACATTCCCAATTCCGAATAGGGTTTTTGAATTTTCAAAAAAGAAATTAATGAAAGTTTGTATATAATAAAAATCAAATTCATGAAAATTAAGATGAAATGATTTTATAAAGTTATGTAGTATATACCGTGGGAACGACAAATATAGTACTCAAAAGCAAGAGGAGAAACGAGACAATACGGACATCTATTTGAATTTAATTTTGTTTTTTAGTTCTTTAAAATTGTTTTGTAAATAAATTTTTTTTTAAAAAGGAAACTTATTTGAATGTAATTGAAATCTAAAATTATAAATAAGTTCGATTTATTTAAAAAATATTATTAACAAACTTTCATAATTATAAGACTGCTATATTAAAATAATTTAAAATTGAAAAAAAAATTATTTAATTATTTACAAAAATATATTATTAATAAAAGTTTGTAACTATAAAATTGTTACCATAAAAATAATAATTTTTTTTTTGAGAACATCTCTAAATTGTTCTCCAATTTTAGTTTTGAAAACTAAAAAAGAGTTACTATTTTGGGAATTATTTTTACCACACAACAATTTTAAACAAATTTTTTAATTTTTAATTCTAAAAACTATAAAACTGTATTTAGAAATAGAAATGGGCCATAAACTTTGAGATATGCCCATTAATTCTTCTCCTTTTCATCAAAATGTTAAGAGAGATCTAGAAGCTAACAATATTATCGACCAACATTCAACATAGCACACCACATGAACACGTTCTATACTCTTCTTGGCCAAAAATAGAGAAACTGGCCGATAAACTAAACTACACAAAATGGAAACTATAATACACTAAATACAGTACATAATATTCCAACAAATTAAGGCTTCCATATTTAAAACTCCCACGGTTAAAACAAACTTCAAACCTACGAACAAGCATCAATCGAAGACATTATCTGTTACCTTGGATGTAGTCCTTATAAACAACCTCAAAGTGTGCTATAAAAGACCTCACAAGGTAAAGAGGAAATTAAAGAACAAGGTGTAATTGATCAGAAGGCATTGTCCCTATATTACTTTATTTCATATAATTAAGACCTCTCTTGTCACTTGTGTTTCACCTAATTTACCTCACTACTAAATTTTTTTTTGGCTAGAAATGTCGAAAGTTCTTTTAGTTGATTCAAGGCCAGAAGATCATAAGAGGGAGCTACAAAAGATGAGAAGGTTTGAAAGTACTAGATTTATCGTGATAAGGGGTGGATGGAGGTTCGTGGGTGCTTGCAAAAGAGTGTGGTACAGGTTTCGAATGAGCCTCAAAGTGTAATTTCAAATTAGTAATGACGCTAGTTATTGTGCATGGCTACCAAAAAAAGAAAGAAAGAAAGAAAAGTAGAAGTGGAAAACTAGGTTCCCAAGATGTTTAGCTTCTCACATTATTCATAGTAATTATGTTAGGAAGTTTGTACCTTTTTTTTTTTAAATACAAATGAGAGAATTGAATACATAACCTAATATAAACTACACAAGCCCCTCACTACTACATCAATCCTAGTGGCTTAAAGTTTATACCTTTTTGTGCCGGCTTAGTTTTACATTGTTGTAAAAGATAGCTATGTATGTTTTCATTGAAAGCTATAGGTGGTTATGGTACTAAATGCTCTCATTTCTATTGAATTTAATGAAATGGTACATACAAATTGTATATTTCCAATCATTGTTCATTTTCTGTGCCATATCTGTTTATTTGGGTTTTTCTATTTGTTTTACTTAATGGAAAAGTCAATAGATTTTTGCGTAATTGGATAAACCTATCGATATAATTTTGGGGCAAAACATGGGCTTTCAGAATCTAATTTTTACGCACCACTAGGATTAGGCTAGTGGTGTTGGGTATGTGTAGTGTGTATTAGGTTGCAAGTTCGATTCCTGTAATATTCAAAAAAAAAAATCTAATTTTCACGTATTCATTCCCAAGGGAGAAAAATAAACCTACCTACGTGTTTTTATTTGTGAAATATAATCTATTTTACATTTATACTTCTGGTAAGTTGGCATTTCAAAAAGTATATGAACTTAATTAACGATTTTATCCGAATAAGAAAATTCAAATTGTTATAAAATCAGCTCTCTTCAAAGTTCAAAGTCAATTAATGCTTCAAAATTATTCTATAACTCAAAACAACTCAATTTAATTTTCCAGGTGTGCCTGAATCTTCTAGTTATGTTCGTGTGATGATATGAAAGAACTAGACCACTAATTTATCAAATAATTCCAATAAAAGCCTCTTGTAATAATTATAGAGATTATGATCAAATTCAGTTCTTACCCAAATAAAGTAATTAGGCTAACATCACATTTTGTTAGGTAATTTGACAGTAAGTAACAAATTACCAGTGCAACTAAAACTAAAGATAAAAATCAAGTGATTTAGTGATTAAAATCACTCACTTTTTTCTCATCACGAGCACCCTCTTCTAAAGTATAAAAAATCAATTCAACTTAAAAAGTTAATATATTTAAGTGAATGTCATATTAATAATTTTTTAATATAATTCTTTAATACATCACTTGTACAAGAGTCTATTGGACTTGAATGGTGACAATGTACAGGTTCCGCCAACCCGTTGTATAATATTTAATTATTTTATTAATAGAACGAACGCAGTAAGAATAGAACTCATAACTACTTTATCACAGGTGTAAACTCTAATATCATATAAAGAACCAATTCAATATAAAAGTTTAAGCTGTTAATTAGATGAATACACGTTAATAATTTTATATCATATTTTTCCATCCCTCAGAAAGACTTTCAATAAAAACCCACCAATGTTATATCACAATATATAGGAGTATTCGCAGTTATATATTTAGCATTCTAATCAATCATCATGAACAAATCACACCATACCTTCTACCAAAATCACTGAAACTATATGCAGAGAGTATTTATCTGAAGCTATATATCACCATTAAGCTCCAAACTCCAACATGCGCAAACAACCCAACCTCATTCTCAAACAAGTAACCACTTCTGCCTCATCATTTTTTAAACCAAGCAAACACCTTTAATTTACAAGTTTTTGACTCACCGTTCAGCCAACAGAATTACCCAAGTCAACTGGCTTCCTTACTCATTCTTTATTTTTTTTTATCTTAATCATTATATAGGGACAGGATTCTTAGACATCCTGTCAAATATTTTAATTTGACCTCAAATCTTTATCATTAATTTTTATCAATTTAACAATTATAGTTTATTGAGAATTAATAAATTAACTTCGACCCAGATAATTTTGATTGGGCTGTTGTTATCTTGTTAAATCTGGGCTAAACTTATCTTATTTTTTATGAGCTAATGCAAGGGATATTTCATTGCTCTGGGCGAATAACGTTAGCGGGCCAAACTCTAATAGGCTTGGGTCTTAATTTTTTTAGAGGGAGGTTTGAGTTTTAGAAAATGACGAAAATAGTCTTAAAAAAAATGACGAAAATGTAATATATATATATATCGGTTTTTGTTTTAT